CTCTCTCTCTCTCTGTGTCCAGTACTAACCTGTGAAGTTGGCGCCTTGATGCAGGTACCTCGAAGATGGAGCTGGAGCTATGGCGCCACAGGTAAGTACTGCTGGCCTCCGCCAGCCATCTCCCTCCAATGCTACTATTACCACCTACTAGCGCCCAGCGCTGAAGACTACACCTACAGCTATGGGCGCCCAGCCCCGAAGACTACAGCTAACGCTGAAGACTACTGCCTAGCGCTGAAGACTACTGCAGCGCTCCTCCTGAGTGCTGCGGCCGAATCCTGAAGACTCGTGCCTACTGACAACTACCTACCCGTGAAGTGCATGGGACTATCCTATGTACTACTCGGGTCTGCCTCCTGACTGCAGGCGAGCAGTCCAGGAGGCTGCTCTTGCCAATGCCCCAGGGAGGCAGGGGCTGCAGCTGCAGCTCCTGCTCGAGCTGGCGTGGGGAACAGGCTATTTCTGGCCTGTTCCGAAACCCTGTTTTCGTGCCTGAGTCTTAGGTAGGTCGAACACAATGAGGGCCTGAAAATGGCCCTCCGTTTCAGGCTAAAAAGCCTCTGGGCCTGAAAGGCCCAGAAATAGTTGAAACGGAATAGGGCCTGCAGGCCCTCGTATTTCAGCTTTCAGGCTGAACGACCGGGGCCTGTAAGCCCCAAGTTTTAGGCTTTTAGGCTGAAAGTGCGGGACGGGCCCTGCAGGGCCCGTGTGGCTACGCAGTATGCCACACCCCCCCCTCCTTGAAAGACCGAGATTACCTGCGAGGGCGAAGCTGTCTGTCTGAGGGAGGGACCATAGTCCGGATGGGAGGGGCAGGACGTGGAGGTCCCTTGGCTAACCTTTGACGCTCATAGTAAGCGTAGATCAGTGGTGCGGATGCTTTCAAATCTGCTCCTGAAATCCACCGAGTGTCGTCAGGATTGCATGCTCTGAATGTAACTTTGTACTGTCGCGGCTTGCTGCCATACTTGCGATCCGAGATGACGCGGTCAACCTCCTGATGACCATCCATAGATGGAGGGTCCTGCGATCGTCGGCCCGGGAAGTCGTCACTCTTAGCTGGTGTATATGTTGCCAGCTTTGATGAGTGAAAGACTGGATGGACCGTCAGATGCTCGGGAATGTTGATCACAAATGAAGGGCCATCGGGCTCATCACCCGCGGCTGATGTCACAGACCATGGTCCAAACCACTTGGGAAGCAGTTTGCGTGAAACATCCTGTTCCAGTGCAAACTCTTCCGCAGAGACCCAAACCAGATCACCGGCGCGGATGGGACATGGTACGCGACGCCTGTTGGCTTGCTGCTGCATGCGGACTTGAGCCTTTTGCATGTTCGCGAGGACTTGAGTCAGCAATTCCCTGTACTTCCAGACGGAAGCGGGAGTGCAAGCGGCGTCAATGTCGGTTGGTCGAGGGAGGAGAAGGTCGGCGAAGATACGGCCTTTCTGTCCACCGTCGTGCAACTTGAATGGAGTCACGCTAATCGTCGGGTGCACCGAAGTGTTGTAGGCGAACTCGATGTCGGGGAGGTGGTCAACCCAATCTTTCTGGTCCGGACGGATGAGCGTACGAAGCATCATTTGAGCGGTTTGATGTGCCCGCTCCGTTTGCCCGTCCGTCTGTGGATGCCGAGCCGAACTTGGTTTCATCTTCGTGTCGGACTCCTACATGAGTGCAGTCCAAAATGCCGACATGAAGCGAGTGTCGCAGTCGCTGTCTATGTCTTCTGGTACACCATGGCCACAAATCCAACCGGTGTGCCGGAGGCGTGCCAACTCGAGGGCCATAGAGTAGTACTTGCAAGGGAGAAAACGCGCGTACTTACTCAATCGGTCCACAACCGTGAGGATGTCGTCGTGCCCGAGCCGGTCGCGAGGGAACGGACCGGTGACGTCCATGGCAATGGAGAGACCGGGTTCCCGTGGGATAGGCATCGGGCGTAGCTCGCCATAAGGATTGCAGATGCGGGGTTTGTTGCGTCGGCAAACTTCGCAAGAGTCGCAATACCGAGTGACATCGGTAATGAGGTCGGTCCATCGGAATCGTTGTCGAAGCCGTGCAATAGTGCGGTTGACTCCGAAATGGTCGGCGAGTCGCGAGTCATGGAACTCTCCGAGAAGGCGAGTCCAAAGACGACGGTCTCGTGGGACACACAATAAGTCCTTGCCTCTCGAGTGGAGGAGCAAGTACTCGTCGGCAATGCGATAATTGCTGGCCGCCGGGTGATCTGAGGATAGCTGCGCGTATAACGTGGCGAAGTCCGGATCAGACTCATATCCCCGGATGAAGTGTCGCTGAAGCTCCTCGTCGAATGCGAAGGCATGATGTGTCATAGCGCAAAGATCAGGTCTTCGCGAGAGTGCATCTGCTGCGCGATTTGAGAGGCCGGGAAGATGTTTCGGTGTGAAGTCAAATTGGTCGATGAAGTACATCCATCGTCTGATCGTGCTGCTCACCGTATCCTGTGTCTTGTAGTAGGTCAATGGATTGTTGTCCGTAACCCATGTGAACCTACGACGSCCAAGGAGGAAGTGCMGCCATCGCTTGAGAGCCATGACGAAYGCGAGYARCTCCTTCTTCCTTGCATCATCAAGCGAGTTGATGGGAGGCACTTTGTGGCTGAAATACTCCACAGGGTGCCAGTCGTCGCCGTCGTGCTGTTCCAAGACTGCCCCAATGCCATAGCCGGAAGCGTCAGTCGCCACTCTCGTAGGCAGGGTGGGGTCATAGATGCGAAGGACGGGTGCCATGAGCATAGCCGTCTTAAGTGCTTGGAATGACCGGCGTGCGTCGTCATCGAATACGAATGGCACCTTTGGCGATTGTAATCTCGTCATAGGTGCAACAATCCTTGAGTACCGGTGATGAATCGCTGATAGTAGCCTGCCAATCCCATGAATGAACAAACGTCCGTGGTGTTGGTGGGCTCAGGCCATACTCGTAGGGCCTCGACCTTGTCGCGGTTGGATTTGTACTTGGCCTGTCGTAGCCGCTCCAAAACGGTGCGCAGGTGTGCCACATGCTCCTCCAAACTCCGGCTGTACACCAGGATGTCGTCGAGGTAGATAAGTACGTATCGATCCAGCATGTGTCGGAACTCCGTTGTCATAGCCGCTTGGAAAGTGGCCGGGGCATTCGTAAGGCCAAATGGCATAACCAGCCATTCGAAATGCCCATATCACGTCTTAAACGCGGTCTTGTAGCGGTCCTCCTTGCAAATCTCGAGTTGGTGATATCCCGACTTGAGATCGAGCTTGGAGAAGAACTTGGCGCCACCCAGTCGTTCGAGAAGATCGTCGATGCGTGGGAGAGAGCCGGCGTTTCTTATCGTCTGCTCGTTGAGCTTGCGATAATCGATGCACAACCGCAAATCCTTGTTCTTCTTCCGAACGAAGAGAACAGGAGCATCGTATGGCGATGAGCTAGGCCAAATCCAGCCTTTCTTCAGAAGGTCGTCGAGTTGTGCCCGAAGCACACTTAACTCTTCCTCGCTCATTCGGTAGATGCAACCGCGCGGAGGTACGACCCCGTCCTCGAGGATGATCTCGTGGTGGATGGGCCGATCCGGTACTACTCCGTGCGGGCCTTCGAGGCGTCGAGAAGTTCGGTGATGCGTGGATCTGAACATGAGTCCGTCGATGAAGCCTCATGGGGCGGGAGGGCGTGGAGAAAACACATCCACATCTCCTCGATGTTGTCTCTGATGATGGAAGCTCGCATGCTTGCAGCGGATACCACATGGCAGCTGATCGAAGGATGAGGAAGAGGCATCGTGCATGGGACTAGTATTCCGTTCCGATCACGAATGTGAACGGTGCGGTTATAGAAGTTCACCAGGTGATCCTCGCTTCACAGCCATGACATGCCCAAGACCATGTCAAATTTGGTGTCCAGAACGTCAAAGGATACCGCCTCACTTGCGTGAAGGGCAAAGTACACTGGGACGTCATCAATGCACCGGTCGATTGACTTGTGCGTGTGACCGTCCGCCAACGTGACTTGCGTGGGCTGGGGCTTCCTTCGGACGCGTAGGCCAAGGCCGGCGCGCACCATGAAGTCCTGGCTGATGTAGTTGCGAGATGCTCCGCAATCGATCAAAGCGTTGCAGGTCGCCTCTCCGATCTGAATGCGTACATATAGCAATGGTGCGTCGATATCGTCGTACCGTTGCGTCTTGAACTCGCGGTCGATCTTCGCAATGTAGGCGTGAAGGTCGACAACCTCTACTCCGGCGTCCATCAACGGAGTYGGTACTGCAGTGTGCMAGTAATCCCGCAGTTGTGCCATGAGCATGTTGCAATGCGGTTTCGACAATCGTCCGGTCGAGGGAACGGGCATCCATTGGAAGTCCGCGAACGTCAATGGGTCGAGCTCTTCAAGTCCTGACCATGACGTCGAATCCCCGGCGATAGATGGCGGCGAAGCTGCCGAATCGGTTGTCGATGGTGATGAAACCGTGCCTGCGGTTGATTGTTGCACGTGGAGCGGTTGGTCCAGCGGTGGAACCAAGTGGACAACATAGTCCTCGTAAGTACGACATAGGAGGCCGCTAGCAAGGCGGCCGAATCTGGCGGAGTGGAAGGTGGAGTCGCCTCACCTCCCGCGAAACTCAGTTTCCCGAGTTGAGACGGGGTCGCACATCCTCCTTGGCCTGATCCTGGCAAAGGGAGGTCTTGTGCTTGGTGCTGTTGCACCAGTAGCAACATCCGTAGCGGTCGCGGTACTTGTACTCCGCCTCGGTCAAGCTAAACTTGACCCATGGTGCTGGCTATCCATTTTCGGCCTGCGATGCTGGTTTCGCCTTCCCATTGTTCGGAGACTTGTTGTTGCTTCGCAGCTGGACAGCAGCCACCTGATCTCCGTCACTTGATGCTGAAGTGGCTGCTGGGTCTTCTCCACTGTCCGATTGGACTGCAGCGAAGTGTTGCGGTCGCGGACCAGTCTTTACCTTCTCCACATAGGTCGGCTGCCACGTTGACTTCTCGTGTGCAGCTGCCCTGTTGGTCTTGATGATCTCTCTCGCCTTGTCAATGATCTCGGCGAAAGTTGCATACTGCTCGCGATCACCAAGTGTCTGGCTCAGCGCAGCGCATGACCTGTTGTAGAACTCACGGCGTAGATGCGTGAATGGTAAGTCTAGATTGGGCACGACCGCGATCTTCTACCATTCCGTGAGCGAGTCACGTGTTGTTGTGTTGCCCTGAGACATGGTGAAGAGATGGTTGATGGTGAGTGCTGGTGCGTCGTCGACGATGAACCGCTTCTTCCACAGCCGTGTTAACTCTTCGCATGTAGTCTTGTCTTTCATATCCGCGACGTCGACGCTGTGGGTGGCTGCCAGGTGGGTCAACCAGGTCTGGCATCCGCCCTTTGAGTTAAGGAACAATTCGCCGATGTACACGTGTTTGGTGACAGGCAGAATCCGGAGTTGGGTCGTGAATGCTTCCCACCAGAGGACCGGATCCTGATGTGTGTAGCCGTCGAACTTCTCCAGTTGGAAAGTTGGCATCTTGTACAGCTTTGGATTGCCATCCTAGTTCGTCGACTGCAGTTGCTGGACCTCGGTCTTCAACGTGTCCAACTGGCTGCTGATGGTGGTTGGCGCCGCAAAGGTGCTGATGTCGCCAACCATTGCCACTACGTGGTCAACGCGTTCCTCCAATTGGCGGTTAGAGGGTGCACTGCTGGAAGCTCCAGCATCTGGTCCTGGTACAGCCTGTTCCAGGTCCAGTACACAGGAATTGAGTGCCCGTGTTGCATCCTCGTGGCTCTGCACCATGCGACGGAGGTTTGCCAACTCCTGGTGCTGTGTCTTCATATCCTGGTACTGTTGCTGCAGTTCCTGGTTCTATCTCTCTAACTCGGACCGTTGGTAGTTGCAAGCATACAACAACCGTGTCACAAGTTTGGAGAGAAACTCCTTATGCTGCTCTTCCGGCGTTGCGTCGTCGCCGTTCGGTTCAAAGTGCCAGAACTTGAGTCTCTCGATGTTGTTGGCTTCATGACGCTGCAGCAGATCCTGGGCTTCCTTGCGGCGAGCCTGGGCATCTGCGTCTGCTTCGGCTGTAGCCGCAGCTTCTCTGCTGTTGCCGTTGCTTCGACCTGTAGGCGGGCAGCCTCGGCTGCCAGCTGGCGTTGTTCCTCAGCCTCGATGAAAGCGAGCTGAGCCTGGAAGCGCTGTTTGTAGTCGGCAATGGACTCATTGGCCAGTTGGCCTAGCAGGCCCATTGCTGGACCCGTCATGCTGACGTGGCACTGTGACTGATGTGGTGGCACTGTTGGCACTGCGTGCACTGCTGATGTGGCACAGTACCAACTCCAAAATGCATGCAAAGGGTGGGTGGGAGGGAAAACGTAGGTAGGCAACCAACCCAACAATACTTTCCTCCGGCCCTAACCAACAGATAAAATAAAAAATAAAAAAATAAAAGAGGACTACTTCCTTTTTTTTTTTTTTTTTTTTTGATTATCTATCGATCTATTATGAGTGAGACATGTCAGAAGAGTGCTATGAACGAGCTCCAGGCTAGGTTCCGCAAAGTTTCGGCTTTCACAAAATGCGATATTGAAAAAAAAAATTGTGAGGTAGAATAGAGATGCGATTTTCAGAAAAGAACTAAATCCCGTTTCTGAGAATATGGCAACCTCCGAATATGCCTATCGAAATGTTGGTAGGCTTCGCAACATTTTGGTTTTCAAAAAAAAATTGCGAGATAGAATGGAAATTCGATTTTCATAAAAGAATAATTCCAGTTTCCGAGAATATGACCACTTCTATCGTTATCCCAATATGCCTAGAGAACGAAATACTAACATCAGAGAATTTCAGCTATGTATGCAAAATATCAGAGAAACGAAATGCAACTATCGAGAATTTTCATAAAAAACGAAATGCGATTTATCAAAAATTTTCAGATATTTGTCACGTAAAAACGAAATACTAATATCAGAATTTTTCAGGTAAAACGAAATGCGAATATCAGAAATTTCAAATAGTTGTTGTGAGAAGAAAAAAAAAATTCAGAGATTTGACGAAGTCCTACTTGATTTACTAACGAGTAATCAATAGATCAAGCAAGCTGGCTATTTGATTGAGCGGGTCCTTTGAATGAGAGGTCCGCCCCGATACCAAACTGTTGCATACTGTAACGGTGCAGACCAAAACAAGAACCGACCTCTCATAACAAAGTATAAGATAGCACAGCGGAAGACTTGGATACCGGTGATCCGAACAATCAATATTGCAATGCAGCCCTAAACAGACATCATCATCATCGTTACACGGTGTGAATGGGGTCTGGCGCTTCACACAGGAAGATTGTGCCAGCCCCTACCATACACAGACGAAGAAGAAGGGGGTTAAACGAAGAGGAGGGGGAAGATGGGAATGTCATCAACACCAAGTCTTCGGCACAACCCAAATAGTCCCTCGTCGAAATTTCTGAATCCCAAATGTCAAGTCTGGATCAAATGTCGTCAAGTCTCAAGTCACAACTCTTTCTCTCTCTGTCGTAGTCTAAGAAATCAAGTGGTGAGAGGGTGAGAAGAGATGGTGGACTTAGAAGAGGAAGAAGAAGAAATCTCTCTCTCTCTCTCTGTGTCCAGTACTAACCTGTGAAGTTGGCGCCTTGATGCAGGTACCTCGAAGATGGAGCTGGAGCTATGGCGCCACAGGTAAGTGTTGCTGGCCTCCGCCAGCCATCTCCCTCCAATGCTACTATTACCACCTACTAGCGCCCAGCGCTGAAGACTACACCTACAGCTATGGGAACCCAGCGCCGAAGACTACAACTAACACTGAAGACTACTCCCTAGCGCTGAAGACTACTGCAGCGCTCCTCCTGAGTGTTGCAGCTGAATCCTGAAGACTACTCGTGCCTACTGACAACTACCTACCCGTGAAGTGCATGGGACTATCCTATGTACTACTCGGGTCTGCCTCCTGACTGCAGGCGAGCAGTCCAGGAGGCTGCTCTTGCCAATGCCCCAGGGAGGCAGGGGCTGTAGCTGCAGCTCCTGCTCGAGCTGGCGTGGGGAACAGGCTATTTCTGGCCTGTTCCAAAACACTGTTTTCGTGCCTGAGACTTAGGTAGGTCGAATACAATAAGGGCCTGAAAATGGCCCTCCGTTTCAGGCTAAAAAGCCTCTGCGCTTGAAAGGCCCAGAAATAGGCTGAAACGGAATAGGGCCTGCAGGCCCTCGTATTTCAGCTTTCAGGCTGAACGACCGGGGTCTGTAAGCCCTAAGTTTTAGGCTTTTAGGCTGAAAGTGCGGGATGGGCCCTGCAGGGCCCGAGTGGCTACGCAGTATGCTACAATATGCATCTGGACAGTCCAAGAATCATGATGACAAACGGCGTTGAAACTGGCATTACTGGCAGACCTTTCAAAGACAGGGAGCATTCAAAGCAGCCAAGGATAACACGGCCTTGGATGAGAGGAGAAAAAGGCCATGAACCCGCTTTTAGAAGGTTCAACCACTTCAAGTCATTCCAGCTGTTTCAAGTGGGAGATATGAAATTGCTGCAATGACCTGAAGTGGCTGAAGCTTCTGAAACCAATTTCAGGTCCCTCCATCCAAGCCTTCAACACCCGTCTGAAACCACGGCGATGACCTGAAGTGTCTCAGGCTTCTCAAAAACCATTTACACGTCCCTCTATCCAAGCCTACAGCACCCATATGAAACCACAACGATGACCTCAAGTGTCTGAAGCTTCTGAAACCCGTTTCAAGCCCCTCCATACAAGCATCCAAGATAGGTCTGAAATTGCCCTACCGACCTGAAACCATTGGGAATATAAGGGGACCTGAAAATATATGCATACATTAACCATCTCTCAGCCAAGGGTTAACAACCTTATGTGACCCTAATTAATGACATTTTAGCAATTTTTAGGGAAACTTGCAACCAGCTGTGCATCAAAGCTTCCAAGGTCGGTTTTAGATTGGGTACGTTAAGCTATGACATTAGATCCTCCTCATTAAGAACCAAGACAACATGCCCCATGGTAGCTCCAGAGTCTCCACCCATGCAATTCAAATTGGTGTCTTCAGCTCCCTCAGCCAAATATCCTTTGCTCCCCTACTTTCACGTAACATCACACAAAGATGTGACATTATTATAATTTTGAACGACTGTTCTGAACAAATTTGAAGGATTTTGCGAACATAGTATGGAGATGTAATGAACAACTTGCAGCAACCGAGGTCAAACCACCACAGCACAGTCCTCAGGTCCTATCTTTTGACCAGGCCAAAAGTTCAACGGTTGAAAGTCAGTCCTGGAAAGCCCTCATGCTGGTAGGGGCAAGGGTCAAGAGAAAAGCCAGGTACACAACGCCTCTAGAAGTCAACTCTAGGCCCTAGGAAAATCAGCATGTCAGGCCTTAGTGGGTAGAGTAGTTAGTGGGTAGAGTAGTCCAAGATCACGCACCCCCAAGTTAGAATCTCTTTCCACAAGCATATGATGCCCACCGTGTCAAGGCACACATTAGCTGCAAAAAAATTTGGGCCTCACGGATACGGAGGGGACTCCCAACCACTTGAGGTTGCAATTGGATGCAGATTACCCTTGTTAACACATGTCATTCATTCCATTCATTCCATTCATTCCGCCTTGCACATGCTGGAGGCTGGAGTGCAGCTCAGGGCTAGAGCTGGAGGAAGTCAGCAGGGAGATAGAGTCAGAAGTGCCATAGCTAGAGGAGAGGCATTGTCACCATAGCTTAGGCTGAGAGAGTGAGAGCGGCCTTTTGAGGGCGAGACCATACCTTGTGAGAGAGAAGAGAGCGAAGAGAGAAGACCGTGAATCGGCCAACAGTGATTTGTAACTGGAGGCCGGATTCGCATTGGTCCAATGTTATTCTTCATTGCTCCAGGGTGATATTACGTCGGGGAAAAACTTTGCATGTTGACAAGGTGCTGGAAGAGAAATACAGACTTCGTTATTGTGCGAGGCTAGCGCCTCTATGAGCCCCATTCAACCCCCATTCTGGAGCCAGTCGGCCGCCCTAAGTGAAGGCAGGCTCGACGAGGCCCTCAAGGCCCTATTTCAGCCACTGCGCAACTAAGGAAATTGAGGCACTTGCGCAGCGCCAGTTGGTTGAGGAAAACCCAGGCCCTGGGCCGCCTGTGTGAATGAATGGAAAGCAGGCCCTGGGCTGGATACGGGTACTGGGCCAAGCATATGCCAAAGGCAGTTGGGCACATGCAACTACCGCAGGCCCCGGGCCTGTTCTCGATCGTGCTGGGCCTCAGGCTACCGGGGCCTACTGGAAGTTTCCTGGGACTGGACGCAGGCAGGCCACTTCGATATAGCAAAGGGCCTTCCTCCTCATTCGGCCTTCGGGTGCTGGCTGCATGCTGCGCAAGCGCTGCTGCGCTATTTGCTGGCTGGCGCCTAAGCGCTCACGGGCGGGCAGGGAAGGAGCAGGCAGCCATAGCCGAGCTGCGCTGCTGTGAGCTGGGTGTGGCGCAGGGTGGTCCTTGGGTGCAAGTGGCATCTGTGTGTTGGGGAACGAGGTTGTGAGTAAGGCGAGAGACATACCTGGTGCTGGAAGCGTGCGACATTGGTCGCTGTATGCTCGTACTTCAAAGAGCTGTTGTCGTCAACTTCGGCACTGTCGTATAGGCTAGATAGGATCTGCCACATGTAGTCTTGGCGCCGAGCGCCAGATAGGATATCAACTCTGGTTCTTTGTTGATGATGATGATGGTTCTATTTCAGCATTGCCAATTATGAACTCTTGGTGTGTTCTTATTTGGTGAATCTCGTGATGCAATTCTGCTGTTAGTTCGAGGTCAAGACTATCTGGACTCATATGTATGATGCTGTTTGATTGCTGTTAGTTCGAGGTCAAGACTATCTGGACTATGGCTATCTGCTTCTCTCTCGGCTCGCCTGTGAGCGTGTGAGCCTGGCCTGCGTGTAGCGCAGCAGCGCTTGCGCAGCATGCAGCCAGTGCCCAAATGAGGAGTGCTGGGGCAGGCAATTTCCTAAATGGAAGTGACCTGCCTGCTGCGTGTGGCTTGCCTGCCACTGGGCCTTGGTCCAGAAGCTGTCGGTAGGCCCCGTGAGGCTGAGCCCCAGTCCGAACGAATCAGGCCCGGGGCCCAACTGCCCGCAGCCTGTGTTTGGCCCATGTTGCGTATCTGGCCCAGGGCCTGCCACAGTTACATCTGAAAAAGGCAGCCTGGGCCTGGGCTCTCTCAACCAACTGGCGCTGCCCAATTGCCTGAATTTCCCCAGTTGCGCGGTGACCCCAAAATGGGCCTGTAGGCCTTGGTCGAGCGTACTTCACTTAGGGCAGCCGACTGTACTGAAAATGGGGCCCAGTAGGGCGAATCGAGGCCTTTGAGCCTCGCATTCCCTCCTCCATATTTCGACAGTCCTCTGAGAAGTCCCATTACTCAATCTGGTGCTTTCCTTTCTGCAGTAACTTCTCGTAGTGAGCGACAGCCTGTGGAGCGGTCTGCAACAGTTCCTCCCTGGTAAACCATCTGTCCTCCTTGCGATCAGTGTGATGTCTGAACCGAATGCGATACTGCAGCTTCAGCTTAGGAGGACGTCCCCTGCCTGTTGGTCTTGGAACTGGCATTTCCCTGTGGTCCACAATGTCAATGTCGACCTCTCCATCCATGGTTGGGGGCAGCATTGAGCGACGAGAGGGGAACTGGTCAGTTTCCTTGAAAGGTGCAAGTTTGGAGGCGTGAAAGACAGGGTAAGTGCGAAGGTGACCAGGAATCCGAATCACATATGACGGCCCATCCGGATCACCCCCGACGATATCGAGAACCTCCCATGGACCAAAGTATTGTAGCATGAACTTGCGGGAGATCCCGTGCTCCTGTCCCAGTTCTGAGGACTTGACCCAGACCCTGTCCCCTACCTGGAATGTAGATGGGCGGCGGTGTTTGTTCTCAGACTCTATCATCGTCGCCTGTGCCTTGTGCATTTGTTCTACAGCTTGCTGCATCAGGTGCTCATATCGATAAGCAAATTCTAGAGTGCCTGGTGCACCAGAAGGCTGATTCTTAGGTAAGAGAAAATCTAATGGCAGTCTAGGTTTAAAAGTCAGTAGCAGACTGTTGGGGCTCACCCCTGTTGCGTTGTGCACGGCGTTGTTATAGAGACTGGCGATGAGAGCAAGTTTCTCATCCCAGTCCACCTGATTAGGCTTGATGTAATGACTCAGCAGGTGTTGAAAAGCGCGATTCAATTGCTCTGCTTGCCCATTTGCTTTTGGATGGTTCTCGGAAGTCATTTGTAACTGGGTACCCTGTTCTGCAGCTGCAGCCTTCCACAATTAGCTCGTGAATCTAACATCCCGATCGCTGATGATAGACTTTGGCAGTCCAAAGTCTTGGACCAAGTTTTCCTTAAATAGTCTGATTACGTACTCAGTTCTCACTGTTTTTGGCATTGCAACTAACCTAGCGTACTTACTAAACCTATCCAAAATAACAAAGATGTGTCTCATTCCGCTCTTGCTGGTGACCAGCGTGTCCATGAAGTCCATGGACAGGCTCTCACCGGGCCTTTCCGAAATCGGAAGGGGCTTAAGAAGCCCAAGAGGGGCCTGGGTACGTGAATTGTCTCGTTGACAGACTAGACAAGTCTCCACGTACAGCTTCGCATCCTTCATCATTGTGGGCCACCAGAACCGTTGCAATAAGTTTGATGCACTCTTCCTATGTCCAAACTGTCCGGAGGCATCATGACACTCACCTAAAAATAAACTACGAAGAAAATCCGGATGAGGTACACACATACGTTTATTCCCGGCCTTCTCAACGAACAACAGGTCATTCATCAACTCAAAACTCTTCAGACGTAGCTTTATCCTCCGCCTTGAGCCTGTGTATGATCTCTGACATGAATGGATCCTCACGATAGGAGTCCACCAAAGACCGAGTAACATTGTCCGCAAGCCCGAACTCAGTAGTCCGGCCTACGCGACAGCGCATCAACAACTTCGTTGTACTCTCCTTTGATGTACTGGGGCTCGAAGTCATACTGCTCAATGACTTCGATCCAACATTTCAGCGCATCGAAAAGCACAGGCTGGGTTCTCATCCACTTCAAGGTCTGATGATCAGTCCTGACGTAGAAGAACCTCCCAAGGAGGTAGTGTCTCCGGTGGGTTTGCGCTTTGCAAATCGCATAAAGCTCCTTCTCATAAGTGGACTTGGCCAACTTCTGAGAGGGAATCTTTTTGGACATGTACTCGACAGGCCTAAACTTTGGCCCCTCCTGCTGTGCAAGCACGCCGCCTATGCCATATTGACTAGCGTTCGTGGTTACAATAAACGGCTTGTCGGGATCAGGAAGTTTCAAGACCTCATGGTGTGTCAAAGCATGCTTCAGATGTCTGAAGGTTGCCTCACACCTGTCTGCCCACTCCCATGGGGTGTCAAGGCGAGTCAGGTCCGTCGAAGGGGCGGCAACTATGCTATAGTTCTTCACAAAATTGCGATAGTAGCCGGTCATTCGTAAGGACCTCATCTCAATCACAGACTGAGGACGCGGCCAATCACGAATGTTGGCCACCTTCGTGTCATCGGGTTTCAATCCCTCTGCGGAAATCTCATGACTCAAGTACAAGATACGGGTGCGGCCAAACTCGCACTTCTCGCCGTTGATCTTCAACTGTGTTGCCGAAGGAGACTAAGGACTTTGTCTAAATGACCAACGTGCTCCTCGACAGTCCTACTGAAGATAAGTATATCATCAAGGTACACGATGACAAACTTGTCCAAGTAGTCATGAAAGATCCAAATCATCGCGTGCTGAGAGGTGCCAGGAGCATTGCAAGGCCGAAAGGCATCACCACAAACTCGTACAGACCGTACCTGGTCTGAAAAGCGGTTTTGTGTTGATCCTCAGGCCGTATTGCGATCTGATGGTACACGAAATTCAGATCTATCTTACGGAAGTGTTGGCACCCTTGCACTCGGTCCAACAAGTCATCGATGCGCAGTAAGGGCTCTCTGTTCTTGACGGTGATGGCATTGAGGCCTCTATAAGCAATGCACATCCTCAAAGTTCCCCCCCCTTCTTTGGTACAAATAGGACTGGAGATCCTTAAGGAGAGACACTCGGTCGGATCCAACCCTTCTCTACGAGTTCCTTGAATTGCCGGCGGAGCTCATCAAGCTCGCCTAGAGACACCCGATAAATCCTACTCTTCGGAATGCCAGATCCTGGAATAATCTCTATCGAGTGGACGACCTCCCTCTCAACAACCCCTTTCGGCTCTTCGAATAGATCAAGGTACTTAGCGACTACTCCCTCTATCTCCAGCGACATTTTCACCGGCTCACCTACTATAGAGACATAAACTAGATACATACCCTCCTCCGGATTTTGCTTGTCATAATTGTAGAACATGGCCGCACACATGCACCCATATGACTCGATCAGACTACTAGCCTTAAACTTACGTAATCTGGCGGCCGCCCACCGGGTAAAGTGTGTTTGACCACTTTTCGGTCCCAGTCAAACTGGGGCTGCGCAACCGAAAGATAGTGCATACCCAACAAGACGTCCATTGGGACATCATCGCTGACTAGAAACGAGACGTGATGTCTCAGTTCCCCTCCCGCGTACGGGAAACAACACTCAACGTCCTTAAGGTAGTCATTGACTACCATGTGTTCTTGTTGACACAGGTCCACTCCACAAGTCGGCGCTGCACTTGCCCCTGTAAGCGCAGCCCCTCAACGCACGCGCGACAGATAAAGTTTCGGGTCAAGCAAGTGTCATAATAGGCCCCGGCCTTGCAGTCGCCGATGACTACCTCGACGACGAACATCTCACCCTTAGGGGCTTTGCCAATGTCGTCCAAGAAGCTAGCGGGTCTCATCTAGACCACTCTTCCTCTAGCTCCTCTAAGGACTAACACATTCATCGAACAGAGGCTCGATGGGTACGTGTTTGCGGGACGACGACGGAGTCAGTAGCTTGGGCCATCTCTCGAGATGGTGAGGGTGTGTCCACCACCTCGACCCTAGCAGGAACAACTACTATTCCTACTGGCCCGACGTGTTTCCTCGAGCAGTGTCAGAACTACTGGCCACATTGCTTCCTGTGGATACGGAGGAAACCAACGCCTGCCCCATTGTAGGCGGGATTTTTTCGGTCACCGTCTTATTTCGGCACTTGAACTGACTTTGGTCATGTTGGCCACAACGGATACAAGCCTGCCGAGTGTACCGATCTCTCCACACGTCCTTGGTGAGACCCGGTTTCTCCCATGGAGGATCGTTAGGGTCAACTTGACTCCTCGACCGGGAGCCTCCATTGCGTCTATCGGTCGCCTTACCTTTTTGAACTGAGGCAGTGACTACTCCACCCCGTGAAGCCTCCACGCTGCCCGCCTCTGCAACCACTCCCTCATGGAAGTCGTCGTCCAACTCGATGGTAGAACCATCGTTGTCAACGAACATAATGCGACCCTTCACCTTCCAGTTGGGAGGCAATGTTTTCTTCCTTCCATCTGTAGTGGGTTGGTGCCTGTGCCCAATCTTTGCATCCAAGTCTAGGGCCTTCTTGCTAATCGAAGGGAACTTGTGCATGTTGATGTTAGCCTCTTCTGCCAACTGATTCCTGAGAGGCATGGGAAGACACCTCAGGTAAGGTATCAGTAAGACTTGGGGGGTCATAGCGTACTCCAGGAATACAGATCAAACGCTCTACAACATTTGTGGCATCCCTTAAAACTTGAACGGTCTGTTGCTCAAAGTCAGGATCGCATCAGTGGCCTTTTGGGCCTCCTGAGGATCATGCCATCTATCCTCCACCATCTTAAGGAAGTCCTTGAGTTTCTGGTTGACTGCCCAAGCGGGGAAGTCGTGTCCATATCCCTGCAGTTGCACTAGCCACTTAACCATCGTGTTGCGCTCCCCTCAAGATAGGAGGCAGCCACAAACACTTCCTCGTGTGGCAAGGTCAACTTGCACTTAACGTAGACAGGCACTGACCTCAACCATGTGTCGAGGTCTTCGCCCCTCTTGTCCCCTGAAAAGGGTTTGGGTGAGGCGATGGCCGTCTTTGGAACCCACTGGCCTCGTCCCGGTACCTGCCCCACTCCGAGCTGTGGACCCTGGGGCGCAGGCTGCTGCACTAACGGTTGTTGAGACTGTGTGCCCACCTGCTGTGTTGGCTGCGAGACAGCAGGCTGCCCAATCACGACAACCTGCCACGACAACCTGCGACGGAGATTGGGAATACACTGTATGTACAGGAATCTATACACTAGGACCTGTTGAGAACCCTCCTGTCAATGGCATACCTAGGGAAACGGCTTGGACCGATGTTGGAGCTACGTATGGGGATACCCCAGTCACCAGTGGGGCAGAAGGAGGAGGTTGTACCACGGACTAGGCACCGGGCCCTACTGGTGATGGTGCCGCTTGAGCTCGCCCGACCAGCAAGGCCAGGCTCTGTTGGATGTCATGTAAGAGCGCCATTTGGTGATCCTGCATTTCTACTACATCTAGCAAGACCGTCCTCAGGGTTCTCACATCACCATCCACGTTTGTCAAGTCCATCTCCTCTAACTCACTAATGTCCGCTTGTCTCCGCTGCATCCTCGCTCTTCTTCTAATCATTCTCTCTTTCTCTGCCTTTATCTCCCCTAAAGCCTTCTGTAGTTGTGCCTCCTGAGCATTTGCTTGTCGTATGGCGGAGTCGGAACTAGCGCCTGGCTTGCCATGACGCCAGTGGACTGACTTAGGGTATGTGCGACCGTTGACCCCACAGTCCCTGGACTACTAGCCTGAGATCTCTGCTGCGCAGCAGTTGCCATGACTGCTGAAGTAGTGGCCTCGCTTGTGAATGCCAGGGTTGCCGAGCCCCGGCCCCGGGGCTCCAACGGGGGTCCCGGGGGCCGGGGGTCGGCACCCTTGGCCCCGGCAAAAAAAGTAAAAAAAAAAATAATAATAAAAAAAATAAAATAAAATAAAATACAGGGGGTTGCGCAGCCGCAGCCTGCACCCCCTGGGCCAAACTGCAATATTGCAGTTTTGGCCCGACCTCGGCCCCCCCCCGGGGCTACACCCCACCCCCATGAGCCCGGGGTAGTGCGGGCGCGGGGCCGGGGGCGGGGCGCAGCGGGGTGCGGGGC